AGAAAAGTAGCATGCACGGTAGGCAATGGCCTCATAAGCTACTTAATCATAGAAACATAAATTTGGGTTTTCAAGCTTCCATGTAAAATTCTTGGAGAATGAGAACACAATTATTTATAATAGAGCCCCAGATAAAATAAGTATTTTAGTGGCAATATCTACTTCTCTGATAACATACATCTATTTTAGTGAAGCCTCAATCAAACCTACAGGGCTATCAATCCTTTGTGATATATGTGTTTTAAAACAGTTCTAAGTTTGGGATTTAACTTGACAAAAATGAAAATTTATTCTTGTTGAGAAATGAACTTAAGTTGGTACAAACTTTTCTCAGCAGAAAAGCAGAAGAACTTTGGGGATGCCTCTTATATGCATCCAAACCTGTTTTGATATGTAATTTAATAATGAAATGATGAAAGAAATTATCAAGTCAGAAAGGAGTAGCAAGAAATACAGGGTCGTAAAATATATGCTTTTACTATCTAACAGTAGTTAATTTCATTCTTTTATTTATTTATTTATTTTTTAAGTTAAGGTAGAGAAAACCTAACTTTCTTGTTATGGTTAAATTTATCATTACGTTTTTATATAAAATAAATTTATTAAAAATATTTAAATACCTTTAATGGGGACAAGAATTCAGGGTATCTCTGATATGGCATATTTTATCCTTGAATGATGTATTTTGGTCTGTTGCTGTTATAAAATATTCTTACAACTGAGAAGTCTCCAAATATTTCATGAAAGCCATTACTTATCGGATGTAAGAGATGCCTCAGATAATAACCAATATCCCTTTTTATAAAACAAGAGATTTTATGAGAGGATATCTAATATTTTAGTGAAAGTCTATGAACTCCAATAAATGCAATGCAGAAAAGAGGAAACAAAATGAATATCCAGAAATCAGAAGAGGGGAGTACAGAAGTCTAATAGGAATCTTATAATTAACCAAGTGATTTAAAAAATAAAATAAAAAGTAAAAAAATATCAATTATCATGAATCAACATTCATACATACCATCACCATGGTGTACAGACTGGTCAGCGAGGACAGAGAACGAAGCAGCAAAACAACCAACCCTCCTCCCTCCACTGTCTCTATTGTTCTTGCTAGGAGATTAGGTGTCAAAGCCTCAAAATCCTAAAAAAAGGAAAGATGACAAAGAAATTTATTTATCTTGGAAAATGGAAAAATAAAAACAGCCTAGAAAGCACAAGACATTGAGCAGGAATGAAGTGAAAGATACCTGAAGTATACACATGCCAAATGTATTACCAAGAATTCTTTCAGAATCCTTATAAAAGCAATAAGTTAGTCCTCCACTTTCCACAAACAATGTAAATGGATCAGCTTTCTCACGATCCAAAAGACCCCTCTTTATCAATTTTTTCATATGCTTCTCACGCTTTCTCTTATGACTGCATTTGTAATCATATTAATCAAGTTCTCATAAACCTCATCCAGAAAACCTCAAAAACAAACCAGTACAATAGTATATCAAAGCTTAAACACACAAGACAGTTTCATAAATTGTATGCAGAACCTGCTTAGTTCAAGCTTGTCCTTGTAACACCATAATACAGTTGGCCTGGATTTGACCTGTGCCTTGCCAAGCATGTAATGAAGATTCACAATCTGCGCAAAGCAGAGACTGCATTTAGCACTCAAATCGCATTACTCTTTACTTCTTTGACACTAAATGAAGTTTCCAAAACAGTTCAAACTCTTATAGGCCTATCACTACAAGTCTACTACACAAAGTAACGATGTTTGTGGTGAGAATGAACCGAGAGAGAATGCGAGAGACCTGGTCACGAGACTTGTCGCCGATGATGACAAACATTGACCTGTGCCTTGTTTTGACGCCATTTTCAATGAGAGTTCTGATTCGCTCGTCCACTTTCTTCCTCATTTCTCTGCTACGAAATTTAACATCAGTAATCAGTAACAATAATAATAATCCGTGGAATTGAAATTATTATAATTACAGTGTTTCAAATCCCTTATTCTACAACTGAATCGTGAACCATCACTAATATCACAATGAATAAGGATTAAAGGAGAAAAACTAGGGGAAAAGGAGAGAAGAAAGCGCGAATGAGACCTGGACTAAAACGACGACAGCAGCAAATGGGAAACAAAGAACGTCGAGAGCAACCGCTGCTAGTTTTGTTGCTTGTTATTGTTAGTGTTTACTAGGGTTTATGGAGGGGTTATCATTCAGAATGAAGACAGGTTAGAATGTTTAGTTCACTGTCTTGTCCTGATAAAATAATACTCAATTTCTCTTTATAGCTGATTAGTTTTGGCGAATTTTTTACAGAAAAAATATTAAAATACACATATTTAAATTATTATCAATTTACACTAGTTAAACTTTATGTCTAAATTCATAATTAAAAAATTTAATAAAATAAAAACAGAAATAAATATTAAAAAATAACAAAGTCAAACAAAAAATTATTTTTATTGTTATACTTTAATCACACAAGTAAGCCATGTCTAATTCAAATTTTTAGTTCTTATCGTTAATTTATGTTGTTATTATTATTTTAAAAAAATTTTAATATCATTTTTAATTTTATGAATGTCATTGTAACTTATAAATTTTTAGTATTTGTAATTTATATTAAATATATAATTATATATATACATATATATATATATCTACATAATATTATTTAATAATATTTATTAAAATTAAAAAAAATTAAATAAATAATTATGTATAAATTTTAATAAAGATTAATATCTCAAAATAAATAAATATACTTATTATTATTTAATACTTTTATTTATTTTATAAAAATATAAAATTAAATAAATTTTTATTGTAATTTTTATTTTTAAAAAATATATAATATTAAATAACTAAAAATATAATTTCAGAATATAATATTAATATTATTTTAAAAAAATTAAAATTATATTAAATAATATAATAAAAAAATAAAAATATTATTTATTATCTTAAATATGTAAAATAAATATTATTAATATTTTTATTCATTTTCACATAATATAAAAATATAAACATGATTCAAATAATAAAACTTATTTTATTATATATAATTAACAAAATATTTATAAATATTTATTAGAATAACATATTATAAATATTTATTTTAACAAAATATAAATATAATTTAAATAATAATATTTATTTTATTATATAAAAAATAAAAAAAGTTAAAAATGAAAAAAAATCCAGTCTAGAATTCAATTTTCTGTGAATTGAATTCTGACCTGAAATTATTTATTATAGTAAACAGGTAAGATGGATAAATATTTTTTTGTTTAGTCTATTTGTGTATTTTAATAGTTTTTAAAAAATTCTTCATATTTTTACAATTTTAAAAAAAATGTATTTTAATGTTAATTTTTGAAAATTTTAATATTTTTTCTTTAACAATAGCATGACTGATTAAGTTATACAAAAATAAGAGAGATTAAAAACATTAACTTATAAAAAATTAAGAGCTAAAAAAGTTGAGAAACTAAAATTAAAATTTGAAAAACGTGTAAAAATTGAGAAACTAAAAAGTATTAATTTATTTTTAAAATTTTGTAAGAAAATATTAAAAATAAATATTTAAAAATAGATTTATAAAATTAACTATTTGAAAATATACATTTTTATATTAATTTAAATTCATTAACATAATTATTTTAAGGTTTATTAAAATTAATTTTGACAAGATTAATTTAATATATTAAATATAATCAATAAAGATAAAGAGATATTTTTAAAATATGTATTTCCTAAAAAATATATTACTTTATTTAAATATGTATTTAGATTTAAAATTAATTTAAAAAATAAAACCTCAAACTAATCTATAAAAGATAAAAAGTTTCAGTTTAATCCCTTAAAAAACTAAAATATTAAAATTAATTTTAAATGTAGATTAATTATTCACTTTAAATTTTATATATAAATGTGCTAATTAAATATATAATAATAGAATAGGGTAAATATAATATAGTACTCTAATAAATATTACTATGTCAATTAAAAATGTTACAATACAGACAAAAATTTTAATTTTAAATTATGGTGTGATTTCAAAATATTTATAAGTTTTTTGAGAGATGAATGTTTTTTTGTTACTTTCTATATATAAATTAACTTGCAGTAATTATTTAAAACTTTAATTCAGTAATAGAAATGTAAGGGTTTTAGTGTTAGAAAACATGTAATGATTTCCTTAAAATATTCTTAAAAAAACGATAAAACTGTTAAAAATGATACAATATATATATATATATATATATATATATATATATGTCTATCAAATAATATTGTTTTCAACAACTAAATTTAACCTACAAAAATATTTATCTTTTTTTAAAAGAATTTAGCACTATTATTGTTTACAAATATAAATATTTTTAAAATTATCACTTATACAAAATCTCATAATATTTTCAATACAAGTGAATATACTATTGCAAGTTTAAATCTTATTCAATATTTAAAATAACCACAAACATTATATAAACCTATACTTTTTTTTACAACATATTTTTATTAGTTTTTTGCTTCTTTAGTTTATACAAATATGTTTAGGAAATCGTTTGCTTATTGCGCAGGGATTTAACTTTTTAAAATATAAGAATGTATGAAGTGAAAAAATAAGACCCTACATCCTTGATTTGGATTTAAATATTTTTATAAATATAATTAACTTCGAAATCACTTTTTCTCTTCTATCCGTAATTCTACGTGGAAAAATAAAATTTTAAATAATAAAAAAATTATATATTATAATACATGGCAACTACATTTAGAAAATTAGTTACACAGGTAGCTTAATAACCAATACTCTTATAATGCTTTATTTAGACATTGTAGCTAATTAAACACACAGGATTAAGAGCATTCAATTTTCGCTCATATGTTATTAATCATTCAATCTTAACAAATGTTTTCACTTGATGATGAATCTTCTTTTTTATTTTCTTTGTTACTTTGACTAACATTCACTACTCATTTATGTGGGTGTTTTGTATGATTTTCATTCTGGCTCATTGCCAGCTACAAGGTGGTCAAGGGGCAAATACTGTACAGGGTATTGGTGTCAATTGGGGTTCCATAGCATCTCACCCCATGAATCCTACCATTGGGGTGAATATGCTAAAGGACAACGCAATTAAAAAAGTAAAGATTTTCGATGCAGATTCTTGGACTGTAAGTGCCTTTTCTGGCACAGACATTGAACTCATGATTGGAATTCCTAATGATCAATTGAAGAAGTTATCTAAAAGTAAGCATCATGCAGAAAAATGGGTAAAACATAATGTCACAAAACATGTTCATGATGGAGGGATCAACATCAGGTATATAAGTAATTCCTTCTCATAAATTTAATATTTATATGATGTTATGAACATCATATCATAAACTTAAAGCGTATTCTTTATTATGTTGCAGATATGTATCTGTTGGAAATGAACCATTTTTGTCTAGTTACAATGGTTCATACATAGGGACCACATTTCCAGCGATGGAAAATATTCAAAAGGCTATTGATGAGGCTGGTTTGGGAGACCAAATAAAGGTGACTACGGCTTTAAATGCTGATGTATACGAGTCCAATTCAGACAAGCCTTCAGATGGAACTTTTCGCAATGATGTTTTTGACGTCATGAAACAAATAGTGCAATTTCTTGATGAAAGGAAGTCCCCATTTGTTGTCAACATATATCCATTCCTTAGCCTCTATCAAAATGAAGATTTTCCAACAGATTATGCTTTTTTCGACAGTAATAGTAGAAGTATTAATGACAAAAATGTACAATATACCAATGTGTTTGATGCAAATTTAGATACCCTTGTCTGGTCATTAAAAAAGATTGGTCATCCTAATGTGACAATCACCATAGGTGAAATTGGATGGCCAACTGATGGTACCAAAGAAGCTAATGCAAATAATGCAAAAAGATTCTACCAAGGTTTCCTTAAGAAAATGGCGAGTGAGAAAGGGTCTCCACTTCACCCAGGGCGTATGAATGCTTATCTATTTTCTCTATTTGATGAGAACATGAAGAGTACTGCACCTGGAAATTTTGAGCGTCATTGGGGAATTTTTCGTTATGATGGCAAACCCAAGTTTCCTATAGATTTTTCTGGTCAAGGACAAGAGAAATGGCCTATAGGAGCAAAAGGGGTTGTCTACCAAGAGCGTCAATGGTGTGTCCTTAAAAAGAATGTTAATATGAGTATGTTGCCAGGTCCACTAAGCTATGCTTGTGCTGATGGTGATTGCTCAAGCTTAGGTCCCAATTGTTCTTGTGCAAATTTGAATGAAGCTGGTAATGCTTCCTATGCTTTCAATCAATACTTTCAATTGAATGACCAAAGTGTTGAGGCATGTGATTTCGAGGGGTTGGCTACTATTGTGACACAGGATCCATCCAATGGAAGTTGCTTCTTCCCTGTAGAAATTATGAGTGGTAGCAATATTCTTGGAGTAATACATAAGGTGGGAGGCCTTTTAATTGGATTCACGTTGATTTTCACATTTACATAGAAAAAAAGAAAAGAAAGAATCATGGCTAATAAGGAAGAGATTAGTGATAATAGATTTGAATAGCTTACGTGACATTGTAACATTAAATCTTTATAGAAATTCATTCCTAAGAAATAAAATAGAGTGAATGCTTGATCTTACATATATGCTATTCTTTTATTTCGATAATCATTAATACAATACATGCAAATTACAGTAGAATTCAAATTTGTTGTCATCTACAATTTTATATAAAAAACATTAGTTCATCTTATGAATGGAAATACAATAATAATACGTGTAATGTAATTGTAATACAAGTATGTAATTATGAGAGAGGATAATAATAATAAAATAAAACTTAATAATTTAATACAAACTCATATTTTTAGGTCTAACATATTATTGTCAAATTGGTGTAAAAAAAATGAGCATAAATAGAGGAATGAGTTATATTTATCATTATTTTACCATTCTAAATAATGAAATAAATCTACTTCATATCATTCTCTTATATTTTATTATAGTTCACCTATATCCTTTGATTGATGTTAAAAAATGATTATTTTATAATATAAATATCATAAAAATTTCACCTCTTTTAATAAAGTCTCAATATTAAACACACAAAATTCCTTATGTGAAAAAAAGATATAAAACAAATAAGAAATTCGAGTCTAAAATAAAATAAAGTAACAAATTAATGAAACATTGATAAATCAAATAATTCACTTTCTTATTTTGGACTTAAATATTTATATTATATTTTTTTTATAATTTTGAGAAATATAAATTTTTCTGGTTATAATTTTCATTATGTATTAAAAATAACATGTTAAATTTTTTCATTAAACATAAAGTATCTTGTCATAATATATATATATATATATATATATATATATATATATATATATATATATAAATTCACTATAATTTATCAGAAGTTGAATCAACTTAATCAAAACTTTCTATTATTAATATTGACACATTTATCCATCTCAATCAATTCAATTAATCAATTTTGAGAAAATGTTAATGTAAAGTTTATTAATAGAAATGTTATCTTTCGTATGTTTTAGCGATGGATAATTTTTTTTATACAAAAGTTTGTAAATATAAGAAAATCAAACAAAATAATCAAAACAAACACAGAAAATTGTATAAAATGACCATACATCAGGAATTAACGGATGGTACGTTTCCGTTTACGAAAATAAGAAAAGATAACTTGTTTCTGCAAACTTCTCCTTTTATCCACTCCTCTCACCCCTTCACTTCCTCTGTATCAGCTCTATAACACTTCTCGCTTCTACGGTAAACATTCCCTCTCGCTTCAAAATACCATGAAAATGGCTGTTGTTGTCGTTTTCATTTTTTCGCTGTTTAAAGAATTGGCGTTTTGTTTGTTAAACAGTGACTTATTCAGTTAGTTTGTTATTTGGCAAGGGGTGGAGTCGTTGGGCCTCGATGGGTCCATTTACACTTTCTGTTATGGTTGAAGACTCTGCCATTTCATTACCAAGTAGGTGACTCGTTTTCTTTTTGAACGTTTTGTGTATGTGAATTGAAGACACGGGTTATTGGAATTATATATTTATATGAAAGTTTATAAATGCGAAGTTTGTCACATTTTTCTACTTAGGGTTAGGGCATGTGTCGAGGTTCAACTCGTGATTGCCTATTACTTGTGATCGGTGTGATAATTTCTTTTTAAGTGTATTTTTTGGTATGCTGAATTGGGGAAGAGAATGTAAAATTTTTCGAATTGTAGGGTTGACGTGATTGAGTTTTAATATTTTTAAAATTTAATTACTAAGCTGAGAATAAGGAAAAAAAAAACTGATTTTACCATTTTATTGATGGTCAGTGAAAAGGGAATATCATTTTTACTTGTAAACTAAACTTGTTAATGGTTGACATATTTTTTTATTTTAGTGAATGATTTAGGAGAAGGATCAAATGTGGTGAAGCGTGAGAATTTCATATACATGCATTATTTTACCACTCTGTTTGCTGCTGGTTTGCGCTACTTGTGTCTCATTTTAGCATATTATTTGGTTTCACAGATGCTCATACAAAGCGAAAACAGAACTCACTCCTGAGCAATTCTTTTGCATCAGTTAGCATGGGAGAGGAAAGGCCATTTGACTTTTTACGCACTTTATTTGGTAAGTATAAGCTCTTCTTTGGTGTTGTTCCTACTGAAGAAGTTTTCAGCATTGTTGTTCCATTGTAGCAAGATATGATTTTAGTTGGTATTGTACTGTCAATTTAGTTTGTTTAAGTAGTTCGTCTGGATTTGGACACAAAACATATAATATACACTGTCTGCATTAGCAATTAGGTATTCATGGTACATGTTGAATTCTTCGCAAAGCACATCTGATATATACCAGAAGTACAGAAATTATTTTATCTGCATTGATGAAATACTCCTTTTTCTTTTCTTTATGAGACAGAGCATTATTAATGAATATTTTTTCTTCAGCGTGTGTCAAAAGATCATATTAGTTAATACATACTAGGTTCTCTTTAATTAGATTGCTGATCAACACTAAGTTTCCGTCCCTCAACTCCTCATATATGAAATGAATTACTGGGAATTTTTTCCCCTTCTAAATAGTGTTTTACTTTCTTGATAAGTTGGTAGACAATACTATAATCTTGACGAGTTTATTGCATTTCAATCTTTCTGATGAGCCAGATGGAATTTGCAGAGGGTGTTATTGCCGGAGGTACAGCTGGAGTTGTTGTTGAGACAGCTCTATACCCAATTGACACTATAAAAACACGTCTGCAGGCAGGTTTTTATGCCAAAACAAATTCATTGAGGGTTGTGCTTTACTGTGTTTAATAGTGATTACTGTTTGATGCTGGAATTGTCATGGCAAGTGTTGAGGCTTTGCATCACTGCCAGCTAGGTGTAATTCTTGACACAAATACTGTAAAATTTTATTTTTACAACATTAGGAAATAGGAAAAACTGTAAAAATTTTTCATGCAATCGGTCTCATAGCAATTAACAATATCCAATTGTCAGGTGTCAACATAATATATGTATGGAATGCTTGGTTAGTTGATTTACATAATATGATGAACTTTTCTGAATTTGAATAACTTGTGCAATATGTTAAATTTGGGTAAGAAATTTTTATATGTGCTCTGTGTGGCACTTTTAATTTGTGACCACTGACCACCCAATTATTGACTAGACATAAAATGTTCTGATGATGTTTTTTTTTTTTCCTAGGCTGCTCGTGGAGGAGAAAAACTAATATTAAAAGGCCTTTATTCTGGATTGGCAGGGAACCTTGCTGGTGTCTTACCGTGAGAATCTCATGGATAGCATGATGTTTCAAACATTCTAGGTTTTCTAAAGTTAATTAGAAATTTTGAAAAATACAATCATCTTGGAGAAGACTCAGAAAATTGTTAGCACACTTAGGGCATATAAATTTTTTTCCATTGATGATGATTTATTGAATTTCTGCTCAGTGATCTAACTCAAGACACTGACATTTTGCATGAAGGTTCTTTCTTGAAGAAAAGCAAGCAAATTGTAACTGCATAATCATGTTGTCAGTGTTTCTATCTATCTCGTTCCTGGTTCAGTAGCAAAGATATTTGAAAAATAACATATTCTTACAAAGTGCATATGATGAGGAAAGAAGATTTATTTGGTTAGTTTAAAGATGTTTGCCTCCTGTGAAGAGAGGTAGCTTAGGGATTGTAATTCTTCTGGCTGGCATTCAGTATTTTCCCCCTTTTTTGTAGGATTGTAGGTGACTGGCAGTATGTATTGAATAGGGAGTCTTTGTAGATACATGGAGTCAAATATAGTAAAATGTGTCTCTACTCAATTTTCCCAATTTTTTTTTAAATAAGCAGAGGGCTTGTTTTGTTTATGATGTAAATCATCTGGTATATACTTGCCTTTATAATCAGAGATTGATAGGTTCTTGCAAGACTGGATATTAAGTTTGTTGAGTAAGGTATTCTTTCACTCTTAAATAGGCAATACAAGTATGTGCATTTGGGGGGTGTGCTTAAAGTTCTCTAAGCCTAGCCCTTTTTATTCTCTGGAATTTTCTGTAGTGGACATAGGCAAAAGGACTAACCACCACATTTCTTGTGCCTCGTGTTTATTGATCTCTTTTGCTGCATCCTGCTACCTTGCTGGTGCATTAGGTGTCCAGCAGGTTGGCATTATTTGCATTTATACCTCATATAATAAGATGAAGTTGGCTTTTAATTGAAAATTATGAAGTAAAAAAGAAGCAAAAGTGTTTTCAAAGTTTGATTAATTTCTGCTCTGGTAAATGTGCATTGCTGGAGCTTTATAGCACAAGGCCATCCCTTGTTTTTATGGTTCTATCTTACCTATAAAGAAACATGTATCGTAGAGTTCTGGAACAGACTGTGAACCCTTTGTACTCCTTGGAGTATCCTTAAACTTGTATTTTGAAGTTCCGTAACCGGTTTAGCCCCATAGCACTTCATTTGTTAAATATTTTAATTGCTGTTATCAGTGTTCATACTTCTCACATCGTATGTTCATTTGGCAATATATGGTTGTTTGAATCAAGTTTCATACCCTTTTTACCAAGGGGTGGTTGAGCTTCACTTAACACTTAACAACTATTACTTTTTTTACCCTCTCCTTATCTAGGATTTTGTTTGCAAGAGTAGTATCATTAAAAGCAACTATTTATTTATTGATATGAATATTTAAAGTCAAAGAGAGTTTTTTTATTAGCAATTTTATTTAAGTGATTTTCATGAATTTTCATTTCATGCTTATTAAGATATGAATTCATGGACCATATCTAGATTCTTTCTTGAACACCGTTTCGTTGGTTTTAAATTTCCAGGGCATCTGCTCTATTTGTTGGAGTTTATGAACCCATAAAGCAGAAATTGCTGAGGATATTTCCTGAAAGTCTGAGTGCTTTTGCTCATTTGGTAATATACTACTTATATAAACATTGATCTGAAGATATTGGTGTAAATGCTTGTTAGAAAAGTTAAGATTAGTTATAATTAGAATAAGATCTAAAATATCCAATTCAGATCAGAATTAAGTTCCAGTTTTTTATCCCTTATTTTTCTCCTTTATTTTCCCTGCAGTTGTTGCAGGTTAGTTGATATTTCCTAACTAACTCTGCTCTTATATTCTAGCATTGTATTTCTCCATATGAGTAAGAGAAAAAATGTAAATCCTTTCTCCAAAATGAAAATATAAGTGAATTACTGTTTTCGCTTTCAAGTATGAATTTTGGCCAATTATGGTCCTTTGTTTGAAGCCTTCTGCATTTATTAGGCATGTACTGGAGTTGATGCTTTGTCTATTTTATCATTCTTTTATTGCTAGCACATACTTTTCTTTATATAATATTTTATCATTTTTATGAGATAAAAATATTTCAGTGTTTCTTAATTTCATTAGACTGCAGGTGCCATAGGAGGCATTGCTGCTTCACTGATTCGTGTTCCAACAGAGGTATATAAATTCTCTTAATTATAAAAATGATATTTCCATGATTGAAAAGTGTTTCCCTGGACAACTTCATATTTTTAAATGTTCCTCAGGTTATCAAGCAACGAATGCAAACCGGGCAGTTTACTTCAGCTTCTGGTGCTGTTCGCTTTATTGCATCTAATGAAGGCTTTAAAGGATTTTATGCTGTATGAAGTTCACTATATCTTCCTTTTAAATTCTTGTGATAAATTATACACCTCATCTCTGCAATGATATGTTAAAATGTTTCTTTGATATTTATCTTTGAAATCACAGGGGTATAGATCTTTTTTGTTGCGGGATTTGCCCTTTGATGCTATTCAGTTTTGCATCTATGAGCAGATTCGAATAGGCTATATGCTTGCGGTAAATTCCTCAGGTTCTATCTTTATGTGTTTTAGAGACAATTATATTGTTTATGAATTTTTGTTTATCGTGTTAAGAACTTGAGATTATATTAAGATTTGTTAAGATTATAGGCTGAGATTGTTTCCTTAATTATGTTGTAATTATTTCCTTTATTATGTTGTACCTAATTAGGCCAGTGAGGATAGAAAACCTTGCTAATTTTGTATTATTCTTTCCCTAATTATGGGATTACCTCGTGCCAGTTTTCTCTCATATCTAATTGTTTTGTCTCTGCTGCTGTTTGCTCCTCTATTTCATTTAACGATTGATGATGTGACTTGCATTCCTTTTTCTAGGCACGAAGAAATTTGAATGATCCAGAAAATGCTATTATTGGTGCTTTTGCAGGTAAACAAGTGACATTATAGGCATATTTTTATATATGCAACACATATGAAGTAATATGTCGATACACATATTAAGTTTCATTTCCAGATGATGGACTTATACTTTAATTGTGCTTCAAGCCAAGAGGCTTTTTGCATGAGGGATTTAAAGCCATTCTTTTATCCTCACTATACACGTTAATCTTGTCAGATGTGTGGTTATTTGACACAGATAGCTTTACTGTTTATAATTAGTACCATATATTTTGTTAATTTTGTCAAACTAGATTTCTTTGCAATTTGACACTATTGCATTCCTTCCCTATCTGATACTTGGCTGATCAATTAAAGATGAACAAAAAAGGGGGCTTGTGGAGAGCACCTGAATCTTCTTTCTTTTGGTTTCCTGATCTTCATGATGCTTTTATGCCAAAGTATTGCATTGCTTATTCATGATCCTGATGAATGCTATAAAGAACAAATGAAGATAATGAATATAAATTGTATTATAATATACCTCTTGCATGACATTGGTATGCGTTTCTTCTTGCTACTGTAGGATCTTGAAACTCAACTTGTGTAGTAGTCTTCAGTGACTCAGAAACGCCATTTATCTGTCTCACAGAATGAAGTGGGCACAAACATAATAGGATGAGTGCTTGAGTGGAATTTTGTGTCAGTGAGACGAAAGTCAATTATCTGCTATGTCCAATTCATATATCTTCATAGAACTCTTGGGTTTGTCACACAGTGGAGAAATTAGTAGGTAATAGAAAAATAAAACTGAATCTTGTGTAATTTGGTATTAAGCCTCTTATTTGAATTTTAGGTGCATGATTGGGTTGACAAAACTGAATCTTAGACATGGGTGCCTGTAACCTAACCTAACATATGCTTAAACAAAAACATTTGTTGCTTCTCTTATTTTCCATTTTTAATTTATAATTTTTGAGAGAGAGGAGGGTAAATGTGCTATGGGTTATAAGAATTATTGGAGGTATAAATTGCTGTATTTTGGTTCTCTGTGTTTGATTTGTTAAGTATCATGCTAATCCAACTAGATTTGTGTTAAGATGTTATTAACTGCCATGTTTTGTGTAGGTGCACTAACTGGGGCTATAACTACCCCCCTCGATGTCATCAAGACAAGGTTGATGGTTCAGGTAAGATATAATCTTGTTTCTTTTCTTATCTTGTTTTTACTAGATAGCCATCTATCTCCATATACATGTGAATGTAATACCTTCTGTATATGGGTAATTACAAGCAAATGATTGGGAACATTCAGTGTCAATTATGAAGCCATTCACAAAGTTTCTATTTTCCTTCTCAAGGGATCTGCAAACCAATATAAGGGAATCGTAAACTGTGTTCAAACCATTATTAAGGACGAAGGACCTGGGGCCTTTTTGAAGGTATGGGTTTTCTATTTTTTCGGCCATACGTTGTAGCTTAGGTAGTAAAGTAGGCATGATCAGATGAAGGATACAGGCATGTGGCAAGAAATCTATTTTGCTGCTTATAAATTGTAATCTTATATTTACTTCAGGGTATTGGGCCCAGAGTACTATGGATTGGCATAGGTGGTTCAATATTCTTTGGCGTCCTTGAGAGTACAAAACGTTTTCTTGCTGAGAGGCGTCCTACACTAGCTCAGCACTCATACTCAGAAGAAAGTAAAGATTCTTAGTTTTTGTACCAACTTTTTTTTTAGTCTTCTTCAGTGCCCTTTTCCAAATGCAATATTTACTTAAATGCAGTATACTATTTCCTCAATTTTCAATTTTAAGCTTGAGAGCAAGATTGTAGTTGTGTCTGATTATTTTCCCTTCTCCTTATCCTTTAGTGCCTTTATCCGGTTATTTCCCTTTGTCCAACTGCTAAAATGATTTTATGTATGAGTTTTGAAAGCATGACATTAATATGAATTGGGATTAGGATTCCTTGATTCTTTGATGAATAAACAAAAATTGCGTTATTTATTTTCTCTCTAGGTAATCTGAAAAGTATCCCGTCTCTCTTTGGTGTTCCTTGTTTTTTTTTGTATATATATATATATATATATATAGGATCCATTAATATCAGGTGTAAGTCTAAAATATTTTACACTAAATTTTAACCGTACAAATCAATAATCTAATGGTTAAAAAATTACTTTTTTACGTACTTGTATTTTATTGCTTTACAGTTATCTATTTGTACAATTAAAATTTGGTGTAAGTCTAAAAAGATTTATACTTGATGTCAATGAAAATCCTTTATTTTGTACAGTTAAAATTCTTCTCCCTCTTTATTTTGTATAGATCTTTGTTTATGAAAATCATTTACTGGAAGTACAACAATTTTTAGTTTTTTTGAATAGGGCTGTAGTAGTAAGTCCCGTGTGGTTAAAGGGCAGTAAGGCTAATTTGACAGATGTTGTATTCAAAAGAAGCCAAGAACATAAGAAGCTGGTGGCTATGGTAAAAGAATTTCAAAATTTGAAAAAAAAAAAAAAAGTCCACAAATAACCAGATCTAGTTGAAAAAGTTATAAATAATTAACAGATATATTGTTACGGAACCAAATGAGGGTGATGAACCAGAAGTCAATTTTATGATGTCTCGTCTGTTGCGATCTTTCTCCCGCATTTCTTTTCGTTCTGGTTCTAGTTCCTTCTCCTCCTCCTCCTCCTCCTCTCCAACCAAAACTAATCTCTTTAATGATCAGGAGAAACAGTCTCCTGAGATTACACCTAAACATAACCTCTTCGACGAAGAAGTTCGCTTCGAAGAAATCAACCAAAGCATAAATAACTGGACCATTCTAGAAATCCCTCAGGACACATTATATGTTCCTGAAGAACATTCCAAGAAAAACAGTTTTGATTACATTAAGATTGTTGAAAATAATATTCCTTTAGGAAAAGATCTAGGAGAAGAATTTCATCTCCTGTCCAAATCTTCCATCAATGAGCACAAGCATAAATACAAATACCTCCACATAGGATGTGTACAGGTAGCCATTAAACCTCTCATAGACATAGGAATAGATACTGCTATCCTCATGTGTCTTAAAAATGCTCGCCATAATGACTTCAACGACTCCATTATAGGTACTGTTGAAACCAGTCTTGGCCAAGGACCAATTTATCTCAATTGTTTTTCCAACAAAACTATGAATCTTCTAGATGACCATATTCTTGACTCTCTGTTCCTCAATATTTGCTTTCATGAGTTAAATATGAAAGAGAGATCTATTTCCGCAGCTCTAATCTATAGGATTCAGTACAAAGCCATGAACTCTTATGCCTCTAAAGTCCTTCTCAAACCCCAACGTGGTGAGACTACTTTGTTTATCACTGATATGACAAATGCTAACATCTCTTTTCATAGGATCATCAAATGGGATGAAGTTTCTCTTCCTGAAAAGTGGGTCTTGGACAAGGTTTCGCCTTGTGTCCCTAGGCCTGCTCCTCAAATTGAAAATATTTCTCAGGACAATTCTGGGAAAGTTGAAATAACTTTTGATAAGAGAAACTCTTTCTCTTCTAGTCGATGCTTATAGTGGTCGTTCTAGTTTTCTCTGCTAGATCTATGTCAGTTCTATCGTCGTTCTAGTTTCTTATGTTTTAAATTTACTACTTTAATTTCTGTACTTTACATTCTGTATTTCATTTAGTAGTCATGCTACTGTCTACTTTCCTTTCAGTCCTCTTTTGATCCACTTCGGGATATCTGGTATCAGAGCCGGCTAAGAGGGAGAAGAGAAAAATAACAAGAAACAACAAACTTTTATTAAAAACTTGGAGAAAAGCTTACAAGAAATATTCTCAAAGCACTTCTCACTAGTTTCTCTCTCTAATATTGCTTAATGAAAGGGTACCTCATAATATGGTCGAGGCCTCCTTATAAAGAAAATTTAAAACACTGTTTGTATAGTTCTGGTTTGTAACTGGAACTGTTTCTACAGAATAGGTCATAATTCTTGTATGTCTATTCCGAAACAATCATCTTCATTTTGATAAAAGCCGTCTTCTTTGTTGGAATTAGACTCTTGTTTGGTAGAAGATTCCACCTCATCTTGATTTAGAAGAAGAAGAACTTCTTTTAAGTTTTTCTTCATTTTATCTTTAGAATCACATCCTGATAGGAAGACAGCAATTTTTGCTTTCTGATTCAGAAATTAAAAAGTTGCTGGATCCGCGAGCTTCAAAAGTTTTGGATTATTTCCAAAAAATTCATTAACTTCTTATGGTCCGGCATGTTCTGCATTGAATTGGTTCCACTATTTCACAAAAGCATGTTTGTGAATCATGGGTAGAATATCATCTTCTATCTTGCTATACCTGTACTGCCATGAGAATACCAAGGCCATAGCAAATGCAGAGAAATATTTAAGATCTGCACCAATCCTGCTGGGAGCATATATAGTTTTAAATATTTAAAATTTTCTTTTATAGGTGATGGAAGGATTGCTTCTAAAGGTCCAAAGAAGTCTCACCATTGTAGGAACCAATTAGGAAAATTGTAATTTTGGTTTTTCTTGAAATAGATCAACCAAGAGTGTCGATTGAGCTTATTCTGGAACCAAAAAGTCCTTGATCAGGCATCAATGTAGTCTCAGTAATTATATCCTACCGGATCAAAAGGTTGGGAGAACTTTTTGAATGCATTTGGATCTTTTCCAAAATTCTTTGGTGACAGAATCTTTAATATCTGTATTGTTGAATGAGTGATTATTGATGAATCTTTTTTGTCCTTGTAATGTTTAATAGAGACAGAGTCTGAATCTATTAAGATGAACTCATAGAATTGTCTGGTTTTATTCAAGGCATATGGTCTGAAATAAAAACCAGGAGAAAATGCTTTGGTGATAGCTTTGTATGGGTTTTTGTCCCAAAATTCGGGTTCCATTTGGATGGCAGTGGAAAATTTTCCTTTTGCCATGTAATGACTGGTATTTGAGGATTTACCCTTTTGAAGGCTAATAGCTTTCTCTGTTTTATCAGGGAGGCTTATTGTCTTTTGTGATTAACTGAAGGATTGAATAATAGTGTTTAGGTTTGCTAAATCTATTTCCATGTCTTCATCAGAGGCAATGTCTGCCTAAGATTTCTTTGGTAGGCCGTTTAGGCTACCTTGTTGTATGGCTAGAAGAGTGTTGAAAGGGAAAGCATAGTCTGCTTTGGTTTGTTTAACACTTTTTGATTGGGAAGAATCAACCTTGTTGGATGAGTCTTTTTTAGGAATCACAGATTGCTGAGTAGATGACTCTACAATCTGGATGGCTTTCTGGGTGGATGACCCAGTCGGAGTAGAAGACCCCGAAGAATTGGAATAAGAGTCTGTAGTGACAGACTTTGATTTTGTTTTGTTTAGAGTTAGGGCGAGCCTAACTCTACCACCTCTGGTTGTTTCTCCCCTAGAAGGGATTGCTGCCTTTTTAGGCATTCTATTTATCCCGTAAAAATTCACGGGTAAAGTAGTCAGGAAGGGAATTGGAGGTGCCTTTGAGATATTCAATATCAAAATAAAAAACACTTAAAATTGCTTGCCATCTTGCAAAAATTTGTTTCGAGGCAAGATTTTTAACATCTTTTTGTAAAATTTGTTTAACAGACTTGCAATCTACTTTAATAAGAAATTTTTAGTTTAGTAAATCTGATTGAAATTTTGATACGCATAAAATAATTGCTAAAACTTCTTTTTTAACAGTTGAGTAATTATGTTGTGCGGAATTTCAATGTTTTGAAGTGTATGCAATGATATGCTCATGAGACTCGATTCTCTGTTTGAGAATGCCACCATAACCTATGTCAGAGGCATCAGTTTTAACAATTTTGAAAGCTTGAGGAATAGGAAGATAGAGATAATTTATTTTTCTGACTCTATTTTTTATTTCTTTGACGACATTGGTATGAACATCAGTCCAAGAGGAAGGATTTTTTTTAAGCCTATCATGTAAAGGCTTAATAATATTGTTGAGCTGCGGAATAAAGTCACCTACATAATTGAGACATTCCAAAAACCTTTGTCATTGGGTTTTATCTAGGATTCTATCAGAAAATTTATCAGCAAATTCAATAGATCTGCTGATAGGAATTATGGTTCCTTGATGAATATTATGACCAATGAATCTAATATTGGTTTGGAAAAGATTTGTTTTGGACTTGGAGACAGCAAGACCATTTTGTTTGATAACATTGATAAAAATATTTATGTGTTTAAAATGCTGATCAATAGAATGGGAAAAGATTAAGACATCATCAATATAGACAATGACAAATTTTGAATAAGGATTGAAAATGTCATTCATAATTTTTTGAAATTCAGAAGGGGCATTTTTTAGGCCGAAAGACATAACATTCCATTCGTAATGCCCAAAGAGGACAGTGAAGGCACTTTTGTACCTATCGTTTTCACAAATTTGGATTTGCCAAAATCCAGATTTCATGTCAAATTTTGAAAAGATCTTAGCAGAGTTTAATCTGTTAAGAAGGTCTTTCTTATTGGGAATAGGATGCCTAATCCACTGGAGAGCTTGGTTAAGAGGTTTGTAGTTGATAACTAACCTGGAGTACCTCTTTCTATTTCTGCGGGTTTATTAACATAAAAAGCAGAACAAGACCAAGGACTCTTGCTTTTTCTAATAAGATTTTTGTCTAAGAGATCTTTGATCTCTTTCTGACAATATTGGAGGAGTTCTTCATTCATTTGGATAGGCCTAGCTTTGGTGGGTATTTGGCTATCCTTGAACCCTGATTCATAAGGAAGACTAACAATATGTTTCTTCCTATTCCAGAATGCGCTAGGCAAGTGAGAACATATAGAAGATTGGATATTTTCTAAAAGGGATTGAATCTTCTTCTGAAATTAAGGATTTTGTAATTGTCTTTCAATGTTAGCAAAAGAAACTTTTTTTTTCAGAAAATTAATTTGATTGATTTTATTTTGAATAGAATTGATATATTTTG